CAGACGACGTTAATGCTATTCCTTGTTAATTTTTGAAGGTAACAAATGGTTTAAGTCTTGCTGAGTTTTCCCTCCTGTGTATTAATTGACTTAAAATATCACCATGAATCAATATTTTATTTTTTTTTTTTTCAGACATTGAGGAAAAGAACTCCATAAAGGCCAGAAGATCCTGACGGCCAGATTAGCCGGACGTGTTAATTAATTTGTTTATTAAAAAATAAAAGTGTTTGTTTAAAAATTCAAATTGCATATTGTTTTATCATTTGGCTTGAGTTTTGTACCAAGAATATTTTTTTCTTGGTTGTGAAAAGGTATGAAAATGAAGGTGACAATTCGCCTGTAAAAATTAAATTGTAGGCATTGAAATTGCAAACTTCAATTTTTTTTTAAAAAAATCATGGATGTTGAAAATCTTCTAATACAATGCATATTTAGTTTACTAACAGGTAAAAGAACTGAAATATGCAATGAATTTGATCTCAGAATTTCATTGTAAAACCCGCTTAGCAAGCCTAAAATTGGTTTAAAACTCGGAGCATGCTCCTGAGTATCAAATAAGTTGGAAGATGTAAACACCATATGCAGAAGATTGCAGAATATTACTGCAGGAAAGTTGATGATGAAAAAATTGAAATCATCTCGTTTGTCATAAAGTCTATAGTTATTAGTTTGCACTTATCGTCTATAGTCAGTAAAACATTCAAATATGAGAAAGATGTGGCAGATTCTGTGGTGTTTTTAATTTCAAGTTCACCGAGATATATCGAATCGACATATGAATGGAAGTAACTATTGTTAATTGATAATACATCGTCAATAAAATAATAAAAATATAAATGAAAAAGATAAATCAAGCTTAATCTGTAAACTAAGGGTATGTATTGGAGAGGAGTAAAGTTCCAGTGTATGCGAGTTTGAACTCGGGCTCGGACTCTACCTGGTGATAACCAAGGTTCGTATGAAAAGTTATAGAGTCTACGACTTATCGTTTGTCAAGTTGTAATATAGTGTAAATACTATCAATGTCTTACCCTTATTATATTTGTCACAATTTGTGATAATGGCATGGAAATATTCCCTCGCTGTAACCAAATCTTTGAAAAAGAACAAAGAGTACGTACAAACAAGTTTATTATAGTGCTCCAAAAAAAATGCAAAGAATATCTGCACACCTGCACACACACAACACGCACATCTACAACACTCGCACAAATAAAAAAAAAACAAATAATAATAATAAAAAAAATAATGATAGTAACAATATACCGACTATAATAGCGCCATACCAGACCCGACAAATGTTTCATTGCCATGTGCGAATAAAATTAAAATCGGAAACACTGACTGGTGAGACCACAGAGGTTGACCCAAGACGTTACCGTGTACTGTTCATGGACACACAGTTGGTTGTTACTCATGGAATTACGGTTACGACACTGTCCAAAGGCCGCACGTCCCTCAAGCCTTCGACGTCTTAATACGTAGAATTTCCTCGAATGTCTCAGTATGCCATAATGTTCACCTGCTACTGTAAACACGCACTTACACAGCTGGTCACCTATAATAACACATTATTTAAAGTTCTGGGTTTCCATAGTCGGTAATGAACGCATTCATACGAAATACTTGAATATGTCGGGTACATTATCTAGCACAAATAGAACTTAACAAAGTAATGAAATAATAACTTTTTCTTAAAAAAAAATAACAAGAAAAAACCTAGCTAACAAAATATACAGTTCAAACTCACCGCTGCTAAAGTTTTCAAAATTACTCTACTGTCCACACAGGAAAACTTCTCGAACACACACAAACCATTCAGGCCAAATGCACGCAGCCATTATTCTCAGGACCACACAGGTCATACAACATTTGTACTTAGGAAGGACACACCTTCTCAATTCTACGGCCTGCTCAGAACTAACTTACACGTAGACTAAATTGTTAAAACCGGTCTGGCAGCCGTGACCAGCTATCCGTAACGACTATACGATGAGAATGAACCTATGGTACACCATAACCAACATAATCAAATTAAACAAAATTGTGACAATATTAAAGAGGGGTAATATGCTTTGAAATGTATTAAAGTATTTTTTTTTTATTATGTATTAAAGAGACTTTTTCTTCTACATGACATGCAAGCGAAAATATTGACTCTTTATTTTGGACACCTCCGTGTTTTATGCCTTGTTGTTGTATTGTTTGTAGATTTTCAGATCCATCATTGTTCGTTATCTTCACTTTTCATAAAACCCAAATTCACCACTTTTACTAGGCGCGCGTGTCAATAGGTCAATCTGGGGGGTAATTAAGAAATGAATGTAATATTTTTTTCTTTGACCGAAGTATCAAACAAAAATTTGGACGGAAAACGTCATCAATGCGCTACGTTTTCCGTCCAAATTTTTGTTTGATACTTCGGTCAAAGAAAAAAATATTACTTTCATTTCTTATCATTTAATTATGATTTAAAAACAATAGAATGAAACTTTCTTTCACTTTAATATTTAATTTAAGCATCGAAGACAGTGCGTCGGAATACATCACAACAACGTTGCTGAAATTCAGAATGGCTGAATGTACAGATCTACGCGCATTGGGTTGATGAAATTTTACGTCCAAACTTTCTATGATACATCGATGAAAGAAAAAATTAGAAGATTTATTTCTTATCTTTTAATATTTATCTTTCAGTGATGAGATTTAACTTGAGAACGATCGAATGACTGTCCAACATATAGGCCTAGCTTAGTTGCCTAAATTTTCAGACGCAGAGTGTTACGAACAAACAACGTTTTCAGATATTGTCGAGTCATTACAACTGTTTTCTAACAAAAAGTTTTAACACAAAAACTTACCTGTTGTATTATTAATTTTTGCTATATCCCAATGGTTAAATTCCCCCAGTAAGCATGGTAAGCTGATATCTTTAGGTTCGTAAATGTAAAGGGAAGCTACTCAAATATAACCTTAACAACTCCTTTTAGGTCACAGAAATTTTCGGTTTCATATGCGCATCTCTTCATCTGAATTTCAAATCGAACATATATATATACGTATCACAACATGTCTATGCATAAAACAACATGCTTCAAAATCTGGAAGAGTCTGTTGCCGACTGTTTAACGTTGAAAGAATATCCGTCCTCGCTCAGCGTCGTTTTTCACATGCATTCGTTTCCTAAGAATTAACGGATTAACGGTATTTCCCCGCTTTGGTAGCATAAAAACGTTTCTTCACAGTTCTACTGTTCATTCCAGTTATCTCAAAGACAAATATTTAACATACGTATGATGATTTCTTTCCTTTTTTCCCGCAACTGCACTGTTGTCGTTTGCAGACGATCTGATTTGTTTAGCAAAGGGGGATAATTCGAAAAGAAACGAACGTAACGGACAAATTTTGAAATTCAGGAAAATAGAGTAAAAGGATTTCATTTTTCTTTCACAAAGTAATATAGAAGCGGGAAATATACATATAAAGTTAGCCAAAGTAGTTCCGGCTGCCAAGTGCAAGTGAACTCAAGATTTTATTGATGTAGTTATCAAAAGAATTTTTTATCCAATCAGAATCAATTATTTTATAGAAATTAAATGATAGTAGTGTAAACAATTGTTAACGCTAGATCTGTACACGTAGGCGAACATATGGGCAGCGGAAAGGGCAAAAATTACCATAATGAGAAAACAAACAATTATTATAACTTCAATGACCATAAAAACTTAACAAATGACATTCAATGCATAATAAACAGACCTTTTCGCAAAACAAATATACATTAAAACAAAACCAACGACAGCGTACGTAACAAACATATATAAATGCAAAACGAACGGTCATCTTTGCAGAACATACGTACATAGAAACACGACAAACGATAAAAACTTAACAAACGGACGCTGGGTGGCGCTGCAGGTTTTTTAGTCAGTTCGTACCCTGATCGACTCGTAATAAGGTCAACTATAACCATCAATTTTTGTTGCGAATGGACTCTCTCTTGAAATTAAAATAATTAATTAATAATTAATTAAAATTGATCATTTGTTAAGTTTTTATGGTCATTGAAATTATTATAATTGTTTGTTTTCTCATTATGATAATTTTTGCCCTTTCCGCTGCCCATACGAACACGAGTTATTTTTCCTAAGTGTGCGGATTTATTCAGAAGTTATTTGACCCTTGGTATTAAGCAATATTAGATATATCAGACATGTTATGTAATATGACTAATTTGATTTTTACACTACTTACTTATTTTAGGGAGAAAAGATTAAATAATCAAGGTTTAAGGCAGGAAACATCGATTTATGCCCCATTTCTAATTTGCTCGATGTTCTTTTTTTCTTATATACAAACGGTTTAAAAGTCAATTATATGATATGTTATTTCAATTTCGGTTGTATATTCCTCAAGGAGATGAATTTTATATACAAGTTTTTGATACTAGATCTACTCCAATTCTGTATAAAGATTTGGAACACCAAACGTAAACAGAGGGGAGGTATAGGCTTCATTCTACATGTTTTACATTATTGA